GAGGACAAGCTGGCGAGTTTGCTTGAGATGTGCGACTTTAACGCCAATCGGATCCGTGGAAGCACCGGTAAACCCAATTGGTTCGAGCTTCCAAAGAGTGAAATGAAACAACTCAGGTACAGTGGTCAAGACTACAGCTTTGCAACATCTTGGCCCAATGAGAATTTCTCTCCCTTGCTAAGACTTCTCTATCCTCGTGCTCTGCAAACACTCTAATCACTTCCATCTCCAGCTCCATCGAGCTCCGCAGCAGCTGCATTGATTGCCTCTCTGTAGGCTGCATAGGGGCCATCCCTTCCAGTAACAACAGCGTCAGTAGAGCGGGACCACACATCGCTTGATTTGCCGTTGAGCGCAGAGAATCTTTTTTGAAGTGAAAGAACGCCAACCTTCTAGAAAATCTATACACAGACTGTTCTATCGCTATGTTTGAGGTTCCAGGCAAAAATAGTGTGAAGGCACCTGAAAAAACTGCCCTTGGAACTTTTTCTCCAGATTCGAAGTTCCAAGCTTACGTGAAGGGGGCCAATGCCTCCTACATCATCCTGCATCCCAGTTGCTGGACTTGTAGTTAACCCACACGAGCGCGATTGGATTACGAGGAAAAGTGGAGGAGTCAGTGAGTGAGTGAGTGAGTGAGTGAGTGAGTGAGTGAGTGAGTAAGTGAGTGAGTGAGTGAGTAGGTGAGTGAGTCAGCAATGGAGTAAATGAGTACTTCTCTGGCCAACATTTGAATATGGCTGGGTATAATCCATGCGAAGACCTTATGATCGGTTAAACTGTTATGGATAACGCATCGTAAGAAAAATCGCGTGAAAACGTCAAAGTATAACGAGGAGCCAATAGAGTATTTATGCTCGCATTTCTACATACATGTAGGAAGTTGTCTCTAGAGTAAGCACATGCAGATTTTGTCTGATATTACTGATATTGCGACCGTACTGCAAAATAAACTAATTGCACCTAAAACTGGAGTCACAGAATGACTTGTAGTTTCCTTGTTTCTATAGTTTTTTTTAACTAGAAGCAGCCAATAGAA